TACCTACTACCTACTACCTACTACCTACTACCTACTACCTACTACCTACTACCGACGACGACTGCGACTACGATTGCTCCCTGAGCAGATTGTTCAGGGGGAGTGGACCTCATGAGTGGTATCTCATATTGGGGGGGGTTATTAATCCGGCGGTCTTCGCATTAACCTGCTTGGGGTTTGACTGTTTGATACTGTTTGACGGTCGATGCAGCATGGTGTTTTTCTCCATGAAAGAGGCAAACTATTCTGAAATAATCTATCAATGTAACTGCACTGGGTCACCAGTTCACCCCATTTTGGAACCTGTGGAATGGAGATCACTGGTTTCGCTGAGCACGACTTGCTGTGTCCACCTCTATATATATATATATATAGAAGTCTTTGTATTTAGCTAGCGGTCGCAGACCTTGGATAGCTTCAAAAGTGAAAAAAGAAATCGACGTCTTTTAGTCTTTTCCAAATCGCTTCGTCGCAAGCTGTCGTTTGGCATCGATTCCACCAACCATCCACCCACGTATCTTGGGACCCCTACGGTGGTCCCAGATCGCTTGGGCCCGATGCACCACCAGCGGTGGGGGGGTCGGGCATCATGGTTCATCAATGCAAACCTTGGACGCCGTGAAGCGCGTTGGGTTGGGTCGTTTCCAGCTGTGACCCAAATAGAAACGGGTCGCAGTCCTCTGAACCACAAGATGCCGCAACTGGTCCGGTGCAGTCAAGTGAGTCGTTGGTCACGAATTGGTTGAACAAAAGGATCAGTGAACCCTTTAATTTAGCCATGGACCACTTGCTTCCACGCGATGCAGATTCGGGGTTTCCCTGAAGCATCCCTTCAACAGCTGGAACTACCACCTCCGTCACTGCGAACGGCGTGTCTTTCACCCAGAAGGAATGCCCTTATGAACCCTTGAGCTTCCAGCCAATCGTGCGGGAAGAGATCGGGCATCTCAAAGTCGTCCAGCAAATGTCGCATCGAACTCGTGTCCTGGCTGAGACGGGCCCGCCAAGCACGCCGCAAGGACAGGCAGCGTCAGGCAGGCTTCGGAATCTCGACAACTCCAACTAGAACCCCCTCCAGCCGCAAGCCCACAGCTGCTTAGAAGCTGGAAAGCTTCACCGAAGCCTTACAACACAAAACCAGCAGACCAGCAGGTATCAAAAGAGTTTTTGCAACCATGTCCAGCTGTCATTAGCAGCTCGGGAAAGATCTTGACGTTTTTCGAAAGAACCATCCGTCACATCCCAACTCCATCCATCTCACAAATCTATCTATATACAGGTTCTTACGAGCACACAACGTTAACCTGTGATACTGTGATGGATCTTGGGAACAGCCCAACATCCAATTAGAAGGCGGTTCACACCCCAAAGGAATCGTCCCCCGATGGAAAAACAGGCCAGCTGCGCATCGATCTTTGTTTCAAACAAGTAGAGTGGACTGTCCTCATACATTGCCAGCGTATGCCAGCATCACACTATTGTTGCTGAAACACCGCAGGCAACGCAGGGTCAGACCAAGGACCTCACATCTTGTTGGTGCCGGCAGTAATCAATGAAGTACTTCATCTTCAGCTGGATGTTCCTTGCGCAAAAGGCATTCGCTCGGCATGACAATTTGAGGTGCCCCCTGACACGCAGGGAATAATAGTTCACCTAAATTGTGATCCTTGACCCAGAGCCCAGAAAAGCAAGTGAAGGCATCCCTGAAACTATGCCAGCCCTGAGGTTCGGGCTTTCCCTTGTCGGTCTTCCTCAGTCAACATGTCACCTCAAATTGTGTGATACCAGTGATACCAGTGTTCTTTGGAATCACCGGCACCCGGATGTGTTATTCGTCCAACATGCCGGACTCCCATCGATGCATGGCTGCGACTCCATTGAGCTCCCAACCCCACTTTGAAGTCGATGTGCCGGAACCTTGTGAAGCTTTTTGGAAGTCGGCCGAGGACAAAAAACCATTGAGATACCAAAAAAAACCAGAGAGAGAGAGAGAGAGAGAGAGTCAGACCGACCCCAGACGCATCGCATGGAATTCCAGTGAAGAAATTCTGGACTTTTCCAGACGTTCGATCTGGAAATTCACATGAATCATGAACGCTTGGCCACATGCCCTTGCCTTTCAACTACACGTTGACTCAATTTCAGTCCACGCCCTTGGGGTCGGACCTTTCTTCCAGAGCCTCCAGGGACCAGCGGCTTGAAGCCGGCCATGTGGAGCAGGCATCCTGGGGAGCCACCGAAACTCTGCAGAGAAGGGTCCTGATTCATGTGGCTTTCACTCACTCGATCGATCCGGCCCGACCCTGACACGAGAAGAACTTCCCGAATACACCTGTTGGAGGTCTCGGTCAGAACATGCCACGACCCCCCTTTATTATTGCCACCGGGGCTTCATCAAGTGTCAATATTCTATTGTCCATTGATATGTGAGAGTTCCCTTTTTCATCTGTTTCTCAGACCGTTCGCCCAAGTCACCAGCAAATGCACCCATCATCCCCGCCTCGATGATCACAGGCCTCTTTTTCTCCGCAAACTCCTGGTCGATCTTTCGACGACTCCGGGGGGTCTGAAACCACGGACGTTCCAACGCCGCAACGGCCGCAATGATCGCAACGGGGGCCGGTGGAGGAACTCCAGAAATAACGAAGGAACGAAACCGACTGACGAGTACTCCAGAAGCCTGTCACCTGACTGAAAAAACGTCTCGCTGGGGTTTGGAGGGTCCTGATAGTCTGGCAAATTGAAAGTGACACAAGCCCCCCCGATAATTCCACGCACTAGCTGCCACCTTGAAGAATTCTTCAGGAGTGATGTCATTTCTTTTTACCTCAAACATCTTGCAGGCAAACTCTCATCCTTCAACAGCGCGGCTCAGTTTTTCTCAAAGAACGGGATGAAAACGGCTCAGGTTGTATGTGAGAGACACCGGTTTCATTTCATGCACATCCAGATGCCAAAAAGATAGATATGGACATGGATAAAGGGATCAATCTTGGTGTCAAATCTCTACCACACCATTACCCTGCTTTCTCAACGCAACCTCGGGTCCATACACGTGGAATTGGGAGGGTCTGCGAGTCGTAGACAATTTCTCGGTTCAAAACCTCAGGAGAATAACCGGGAGAGACAAGAAATGCATCAAAAATATAGACCAGGAAACTAGATTGAAACCCTTAGGATTTTTAACCACCTTGAACTATGCATTGTTTTCCAGGTGGAAGGCTTACTAAGGCTCCAGCATCTTCCTTTTGCGCATAACCAAATTTGTCCCACTCAGTCCTAAATCTCTCCGAGAACCAGGTGGTTCACCGGTCATGTCCAACGAATTCGGTCATGTCCAACGGTCGCTGTTGCAGCTGATGTTTTTTCCACACATCCAATGAAGTTCACATCACCAAGCAAATGCCCAAAGTGGGCCCAAAGGCTTGCACCTTCTCTCAAATTGGAAATGAAAGGTGGTGCTACTCGGCCAGGTGGCGGCTTGATGTCGGTGCGCTGGCCTTTTCGACAGCGATGGATCTCACCCGCCGTCCTCCGATGTTGGAACCTCAGAATTCGTCCTCACGCTGAGCTAAAGCTGGGGCCGCGAAGTGAAGAATGGTCCAACCCAACAGTTTTGGGGTCAGAGGAAACGACACGTCGAAAGAAAAAGGAACCCAACAGCTTTTGGAGTTGGAGATGTTCTTGCGAAATTTAAAGCAGGGTTGAACACAAGAGCACACTCCAAGCAACAAGAAACCTTGTCGTCTGCACTGCATTCGGCACCTGCTCTTTCGTGCCGTCTCGCGGCAGGGCACTGTGAAAACATGTGGTCTTTGCTGCTTAGGGTTTTCCAAGTCTACTGGGTTTTTTTTGCTTCCCAATGATTGGATACCGCCACAACTTCTTGGCCCAGGACCAGTCCCATGGGAGACATCTTGGGATCCAATCTCAATTCTCCAAACTCAGGGAACGAATCCAAAAATCTGAGCGAGAGACGATGGTTTCAATGAATGAGCAAATGCCTGAGTTCTCTTCACTCAAACCCATCGAAAATATAACATACTGAGCAAAAAAGAGAACTGAGCGAAGTAAGTGTTCGACTTTCTTCTTGTCTGCGTTGGAGACATCCTCCTGTCACATATATTCGTCAAAATATACATGTGTTCAAGCAAATACAAAAAATGTAACTACTTATATAGTGATAGTGTGCTTGGAAGCACACACATTTGCTCATTGTTGCAGGAAATTGGCCTGCCGCCCACACATGGCAGGAAAAGAAAGCTGCTTGCGATCCCAGAGTAATTGAGATTGATATGTGCGTGGCCCATACAATGGGACTATGTTGGACAAATGCATCGTGTGTATTGTTTTTCATCCAGCACACTGTAGCCAAAAACAAAGTTCCATCAAGTGCACAAAACTACAAAACGCTGCTGTCTGAATGGAGTGCATGGCAGCCCCATGGCTGTAAAGTCAATAAGGATGTTTGAGGTCAGCTGCAGTCTTGTTTGTGCAAAAAATCAAGCTTGTTGCAGGCAGCTTTATCGAAGCCGGTGTTCATTCATTATCAACAAAACAGGCAAATGCATAATTTGTGCACCCCACAAACAGAGAAATGTGATTTTTTTCAGGTCAGCACCAGCATCTCCTTTGCAAACATCACACAACGGCACCATGCAACAGATCAACGGACTCGAACCCATGTCCAAACTTTGGTCTGTATCCCGCTCAGCAAACTCACTTGCAAAACATGGAATTTTTGCCCGGTGAAGTGTCGTTTTTTGCCGTACCGCTTCGGTGCCGCTCGGACCCTCCATACAATGCGCGGTACTGACACCCCGTTTGCGTTTTACAAAATTTTGATTCGGTCGGAGTGAGAAATTTCCAAGAAAACACAAGGACCAACAGAACGCAACCTCAACATTGCAGTCCGGCGCTTCTTCAAATGAGGCGCTCCACACTTGCGAAGGCATTCTCAGCAAGAACCTTAGTTCTTCTCATGAGGCAATGCGCATTTTTTTGCACGGGTCGAAGCGCTGTGTGTGCAGAGGATGCACAAGTCACCTTAAGCTAGTAAAGAGAGAGAGAGAGAGAGTTACGAACCATGAGGCCAAAAACCACCGACAAGGGAAACCACCAACAAAAAACAGAAAACACAAACCCACAAACCAAAACCCCAAAAAGCAGAGGCCAGGTTCGTAACTCAATTCGGCAATGTCAGCCTGTAGAGAAAGGTGAGACATGGGGCGATGAATTCAGCCTTTGCACTCAGTACGTCACCATCACGTCATTTGGTCATTTGGTCCTTGTTTTTCTTTGAGACAGCACAACCAGCATAGTTGTAGCGGTTTAAATGCTTGAGTTCTTCATGCGAGGACCTCTGCCGTCAAGGGCCAGGCAACTAAAGCTACTCTGATCCAGCACTGCAAAACAGCTTTGCCACGGGAGCCACAGAAAGACAAAATATCCAAAGAGGTCACTGGGAGCAGGACTACGAGGTAGACTGGCTCATTGTCAACACATTGACGAGCATCGATCATCACCTTCCAGGTGTACCGTGAGTGCGCGAGTCTTGAAACATGCAGGCCCCTTCCTAGGTGAGACAAGGTGACACGCCGCTATCCTATTCATCCAGGACCGCCACTAGGGTGGCAGCCTGGGCACTGTCTAGCTAATCTGCGCCGCTGTACAGCAGGTCACTTGGCATGTTCTTGTTGTTGGCAAGACCGGCACATGGGTGCTAGCCTGGACATCTAGCGAAGTTAGTGCAGGCCCTTGCGCAACTCTTCGTAAAACTCTGCAGCCTCAACCGTTCTAGCACCACCTTGATTTGGCGGGAGAAGGTGGATCCATTTGGGTTTGGCAAGTTGATGGCATTTGTCAAATGCGCTATGCTCAGCATATGGTCCTCTCCATGGACGTAGTACCTTTGCGTCGCCCAATGAAAGGCCTTTTGCAAACCGTTTAGGAGATCTCGTGAGTCTTTATGCGCGAAGTCTTTCTTTGGCATAGGCACTTAATAGAAATGAATAGTTCTTTGTAAAGTGCTTTGCAGAGTGCTTGCTTTCGCAGTAACCTTTTCAGGTATTGAAAGTTCATGGATATTCTATGATGTTCAGAAAGGATTTTCTCTTGAACACGGCCTTGAACACCAAAAAGATACTGCTGATCTCATCCTCCCCTATTGCAGTAAGCTATTACAGTAAGCATATCAGTGTGCCGGTTCAGTAGATAACGACATAATAACAAGCCTAGCACCAAAACTGAAAAGACCTAAGACGAAGAACCTATCGAAGTCTTCACTTCTCAAGCACTGTCTGAGGACACAACCTGAGGGAGAGTAAGTATTGATCGAAAAGGGCTTCACAATGCAGTGTCTGAGGACACAACAGAGTGTAGTTCTGGCTTAGGTCGAAAGCAGTACTCAAGCAGTTTCGGGTCCTGACTTGTCCTGACTTGTCCAAAATGCAGAGCAAACATCCTGGGGACGGCTCAAAGCGCCAGTTGCCAACGACTTCGTATCATCAAACTGCCAGACACGGTCGTCAGCCTTCATGATGTGTCTTTCAAAGATGCTACGAGCTCAAAACTGTTCTCGTCCCTGGATGCAAGCAATTTGGGCGGCTCCTTGTCTCAGATAGGTGCCACCGAAAACACAGCCAACCAGTTGGCTCCGAACGCACAGTTTACCCCGCATGCCTTTGAAAAGTGTCTTGGGCTTCGTCACCTCAATCTTGAGCAAACAGAAGCTGATCCGTGGAATTGCATGCACAGTGCACCGCAAGTGCTTCTTAGGATCAGGCATCGAGCAATTGGATCCACCTGCTGACTTCAGCTTTGTGGGACCAGCAGCATGTGAGAACTGCCAGCGGCGACTACAAAGAGTGGATCTCTCGCGCACTGATCTCACAGCTATCTGGGGATCAACATTTGCAAACTGCTCCCATCTGGATCAGCTCCATTTGCCTGTAAGGCTCCGACAAATTGGGCAAGAGGCATTCTTCCACTGCTCTTCGTTAAAGGAAGTTAGCACCCCGCCAGCTTCTTTGCTGTACATTGCGCACCGTGCGTTCTCAGGGTGTACACAACTGACCCGACTCCTCAGAATATCAACTAAAACCACATGGAGAGGCCCACATGTAGATTGCACCTTTGCGAAATGTCACAGTTTTGAAATGCCGGAATGGACTTGAGGCCAGAGGGGGTGAACGAAAGCTAGCCGGGCTTCCGGTGGTCTGCTGCTGGTGCTGCTGCTGCTGGTGCTGCTGCTGCCGCTGCTGCGCTGGGCGCTGCTGCGCTGGGTGCTCTGCAGGCGCCGGGTCGTCTGCTGCTGCTGCTGCTGCTGCTGGCGCTGGGTGGTCTGCTGCGGCTGCTGCTGCCGCGGCGTTGGGTATGGGTATGCTGCTGCTGCTGCTGCCGCCGCTGGGTGGTCTGCTGCTGCTGCTGGTGCTGCTGCTGCTGCTGCCGCTGCTGCGCTGGGCGCAGATGCTTGGTGTGCTGCAGCTGCTTGGTGGTCCCGCTCACCGCGCGCAGGGGGGAGTCGAACCGCGGGGGGGAGGGGTCCATAGATTGATTTAATCAATTATTTGAGGTTTCTGAGGTGCGTCCACCCCGTCACTTAACTTGCTAAAGCAAGAGCAACTCCAGCTAGCTAAGGCTAGCTTTCGTGATTAATCTCCAAATACGCACCAAGCTGCTCCTGGGGAGCTGCTAGCCTGTCCCCTTTTGACATTCATGGGTTCTCTTTGACCACCTCAGCAGGACTAAGTGGAATGTGACCAGAAGTGGCTAACAGGTTTTTGTCCCCCCACGGCCATAGCACACCCGCAAATGTCCGGTTCAATAGACTTTGCCACGCAGCTTCACCAATGGTGTGAATTCCCACCTCAACTTGGACATGCCGAAGGTCTTGTAAGTGTGAGAAAGCATTGGGCAAAACACGAACAGTGTTCTCGGCAGGAACAAAAATGGCTTTGGCTCTTCGTTTCAGTTGCCCTTTGTGCTCGGCTTGCACAAAACAATGGCGCACAACTAGGTTGAAGCGGTTGCACTCATGGAGGGTGTCCCAAATAGGGTTCGCCAGATTTTCTGAGTTCGACTGCTGACGAACTCAAGCTCACAGCCAAAGGTACTATGCTCGCCCATGAGGGGGAGATTTTCGATAACTACGTTCTCAAACTCGCCAAGGCGATCAAACTCTCGGAGATCGATTGCCAACTGGATTTCATTACCAGCAAGGGTGACAAGGACGAGGTGGAAAACAATCGCTCGCTCTTCACTGGCAGGCGTACTGCATTGCGAGGAGGGCTCTTCCCACATCTTTCCATTCCGTGGGGAGGCATACGCGTTCTGCAATTTGAGCCAAACATAGCCGATACAACACCCCGAGATTCGGCATGCGCAAGGTTTGCTGCAGAGTGTTGACTCTTATGTGCACCCCCTAGGGACAGTGACATGGGTCACTGCCCTCGATGAATTCTGATGAGCACTGTGATGTGCGATGGCTTGGCGGTGCAGTCCAGTCATCCCCATTAGGAGGAAAATAGTGCAGCCAGCAGGGGTGCGTCAGTTTGAAATAAACCTCGAAGGCATTATGTGCAGCATACGGACGCCGCCAGGTTGCTCGTACTGAGCGACGGTGGTGTATACGGGACAGCATTGCACACTTTCCAAAGGCCCTATCTGCAATAAACCTGAGCTTGTCAGGAAGGCTGATGCTGGCAAGGGCAAGGCAGCAAATGAAAGTTTCAGCGTGTATTTCTTGCAGAGTTGATGGCAGGTTGACCTCCGTAAGCTGTGCGCAATGTGAGAAAGTGTGCATGTTGATTATGCTCACTGACGTAGAAATGTCGACCTTTATCAGCTGCTTGCAATTTTCATAGGCTCTGTGTCCTATGTAACTGGCAGTGATCCCCAACGTGACATGATGGATGCCTGACGAATGAAAGCATCCTTGTGGGATCCCTTCTGGTGGGGGCGGTATGGAGGGAAAGGTCGGACCCGCAATGGTGCGAGGTAAGCAAAGTTGCTCTAGCTTCGCACAGCTTTCAAATGCATACGGTCCAATCAGAGCACCTTCCGCCAACCCACAAGTATCGCCATTGACGATTCCCACTTGTTAGGGCGCAACATTCTGAGAAAAGTCGTACGCCAAGCACCACACAACCCGGCATTTCTACCGTAGTGAGGGCGAAACAACCTTGAAAGGCTACATATTTCCACCGCAACAACCGTGCTCGGGAGCTTGACGATTTGCAATGAAAAACAGCATCTCCAAGCTTCCCGGTTCACAGTATGTAGACTGGGTTCCAC